TCTGGGGCCCACAGGCCAGTCGGGGAGGCCAGCAGCGGAAGGCATGCTGGGCGGTGGCGGGTGTTGCGGTCACTTTCTGGAGTGCCCCCACCACCTGCTGCAGCATTTGCCCTCTTGAACTTTCCGCCCAGGATGCCGTGGGCGCCCAGCTGGCTCTCTGCATGCACAGCCTGGTGTGGGAAAGACTCAACAGCTCGCAGCCCCCCACCCCCCCTCAGTTAATGGGGGGAGGCGGGAGGTGGTGGATGAACAAGCTCTCCTTCAGTTCCTCTTAGGAACCATTCCAGTCCGGGAAGGGGCTCCGGCGCAACAGCACGCATTGCTCCGGCTTCCCCTGCCTGCTCCCTCTTCTGACCTCTCCCAGGGCACCTCCCCAGATCATGAGGCACCAGACCCTTGCTTCAGGTCTGCTTCCCGGGCAGCCCAAGTCTGAGTGTGACCCACCACGGCTGAGCTCTCGTGGGTTGGCACACCCCGCTGCTCCACGGGTCAGGTCAGCATGCTCTGCTGCTCCGGGCAAAGGTGGAAAAGGTAGTGTCGGGGTTAAGCAAAAGGCTCTGGCGGGCCAGTGGGTTCAGAGGGTGGACACAGTGAAGTAAACAATGAAAGGATCACCCTGGTTGTAAAGAGAATATTTATTTCAAAAGAGAGAAACAGGGTGCGTCGAGGAAGGCTTGGCTAGGTCCGAACAGCTCATCGGCATGGGAGGATGAGCCAGCAGGCTGGAAGTGCCGCTGGTTCCACGGTGGCACAGGCAGAAGCCGAAGGGGCTTCCTTGTTGCCAGAGGGAGGCGAGGGGACCCTGGGAGCTGGTCCTTGTCAGCTTGAGACAGGTGATCTGGGGTGGGGTAGGGGCATGGAAAATGGGGGACTGGGAAGGGTCCCAGGGGAGCACAGCTGAAGGGGCCATCAGTGGGTGAGGGGGCAATGCCTGTGAGGAAGCAACAGCCAGCTAATTTCCAGGGACAGTCACGTGGCACTCTTTACTGGGTCATTTCGGTCCTGTGCTATCACGCGCCTCATCTAGCCCCCAACCGTTGGTAAAAGGCTGTTAAACACAGAGTCTGTGCTAATGCTGTGTGGAGAAATTCGAGAAGAAAAGCCATCAGGATGGGCAAGGAGGGCTGGTGAGTCAGGATGAGAAAGACAGCCTGGGTCCAGGGTCCCCAGGGTTGGAACTGCAGCTGCCCTGTGTATGTGTGTGTGTCTGAGAGAGAGAGAGAGAGAGAGAGAGAGAGAGAGAGAGAGAGAGAGAGAGAGACGGGTGGGACAGAGAAGATGTTTGCTCAGGGTTTACTTTGACATGTGTGATATAACACAACCTTCCTTCTTGTTTTGTTTTGGATCAGGGCAGTGCATTCACCACAGTTTGAAATTCAGAGTATGCGCCAGTCATACAGAAGTGTCTCCTGCAATCACTTACCCCTCAGATGCAGCAGCCCACGGAACTAGCGCTCACTTCCTTCAGTGGGTCGCTTGTGATTTGGCCAGAAAAAATATGTAAAGTAAAACCATAACACACACGCTGTATTTTCACTGAGTAACTCCGGGTCCTCTTTCCACAGCAGCCCACCTGAGTTTCCTCACTCTTTCCCGTGGCGACAGGTATTGCTTACACGGCTGTATCACCTATGCAGTCCCCAGCCGATGGGCATTTAGGCTATTTTCTAACTTTTAAAATGACAAACAATAGTAAACTGGTAAAAAATATATTCTTATATGGGCTTTTATTATATCAGGGGTGCAGATGGTTTTTCTCCAATACAACAAACACAATTTCACACGGAGAGCCCGATTTGTTTAATGAAAACTGCCATTGGAAACACCGTTGTCCCATACATTTGATTCAGTGGCTGTGCTCTACCCAAGAGTTTAGTTTTGTTAGCTAGTAACAGCGGCGTTCTTCAAAAAGTGGATCTTGTAATTACCACGTGATTTTTAGCTCCAACTGGCCTTGTACGGTCAGAAGCAAGGATTTCACTCTAGACAATAAGAACCAGTTGTGGCCTAGCTGCTCTGCAGACTCAAGAAGCTCTGAATTTGGAGCTAGAAAGCCTGGTTTGATTCCTTACCCCACCACGGTGCCTTTCCCAGTACAAGGGGGTGGAAGGGGGTAAGGATTCCTGTCCCACGTGCCTGGTGAGGTAGTTCTGAGGATGAAACTTGAAATCATTTCACAGATTTAAAATCTTTTCACTAGGCACAAGCGTCTGGACAAATGTTAAATCCTGGTATTCTTACAGTGCTGACAGTGCCCGTTTTGGAGACCAGTTCATACTCCATCTATGGAGTAAACTTTGAAATAAATTTTATGAATGAAACCACACTGGGCAATGACCATTGTAATTAAATGTTCCAAATGATGGCTCTTATATACCAGAATGTTTTCAAAGTCAATTATATGAAGAATCCGAAAAAGAACAGAATGCTATTGGCTGACTACCACAACTGTTTCTGTTCTTGCACCCTCCCCATCTCCCCACCTCATCTGCAGTTATTAAAATCAAGTTCACTGCTAATTACCTTGACAGGGGTTAAGTCTGGAAACCACTCAAATTCAGTGAGGTAGGTAGTAACTTTCCTGCCAATTAACACTGTTAATATTCTTGGATTTGTAGGTAGCCTGGTTTCTCTGGATTCATTCGGAAAGGACTGATACAATAAATGGGCAGACCAAGTTTAAGAATGCTGGAACATGAACTGCAGGGTTGTCCACATTTGAGAAATCTTAGGAAACCTGCACATGTCACCCATTAAAACCTTCAAGACACGCCATCACCGGAGCAGACAGGGGCCCCGGGCACTTCTGGTCAGTCCATTCAAGTCTTTGCCACCTCTCTCCTGGTTACCGCCTCCATGGCAACGGCCCTCTGACCTACCTTTCAGGGAAATAGAATTTCTGGCAAGACCAAGACTTTTAATAACCCCACCTGTCAATACAGGTCAGTGAAATAGATGTATCTGTTCCAACTTACTTAACAAACCCACTAACAAAATGAGTGACCCCCAGCAAGTGACCAGACCCAGTGTTCAGAGTGTCCCCCAGGAAAGCCACACATTGTACATCATTAGTGGCCAAGAAAATCTGTACCCTGGCCACCGGTCCAGCAAACCCTTCACTGAGTTTGGACTCCTTCCTTCAACACACCTGTACTTTTCCTGGTGGCTCATTCAGAGGGATCTGTCATCTGATGATTCATTTCCTCCAACACTTAAATGTAACAGATGAATACAGCAGAGGATGGTCCAGAGTAAAGGATGTATTTTGCCTCACAGGTTTCCTTACAGAAGCATCATCTAGAGACACAGGTGTCATTGACCAAAACCGCCTCCGGGGGGAGAACAACGATCTAGAAACGATTCCAATACCCAGGCTCCGAGCTCTCATCCCAAATACACACTCCATGCTCCTCTCTTTTCCTGGAAACATCCTAGTGTGTAGTTTGCAGTTGTAACAGATTGCTTTTTGGGTGGCATTCCTCCCTGATTCAGAAATATCAACTCCGCTTCAGAGCTTTAGTTTACAATTCATCTTCTGATTGGTCACGGCCTGGAAGGTCAATGTGCATATTTTCTCCTCTAAATTACTTTGGAACAGATTTTGCAAACAGACTGAAAAATGGCTCTTGCCTGAACCGGAACAAATTCTGAAAGTTGGGACTCAAGTCCTCATTCTCTTTCATTAACATGTAAACAATCGGCAACCCCACCATTTCCCAAATTAATTTCTTGTAAAAGAATAAACAGGTGCTTTGGAGACACTGGAGTTATAGAAAAAAAAAAGGCAAATGATTTTTTCATGGGCCAGCTGCTCAACTGATGTGATTCTGGGGAAGGTTCTCCAAGGCTCTCAAACTCAATTAGCAAATCAATTAAAATCATCCCCCCGTCTGCCAACAGGACTGTGTTGTCCCCTGCGCCCCCTCTTCCTCATGCGAGTGCTTCCCGGTGCATCTCCATTGCCGAAGCCAAAGCCCAACCCGTCCGCCCTCCGGAGGTTCCCTTGCTTCCCCTTAACAACGGACCCCCGGGGAGGAGGGGCGCTGTTCTGGTTTAATTAAGGATTAGCGACCACCAGAAGAGGCAGTGCTCACGGTCCTGCCCCGTTCATTTATATCTGCCCCAGCCCCAGCTCGTCTAGGGAACTGCGCTCAGCACAGACCCAGTGAGGGCCGACTAGCATGGCCGGCTGTCACTTTTTCAGTGGAAAACAGAGAGGATCAGGCAAAGCAGATGGTTCCTGAAGGGACACATCCAAAAAATCTGCCAGCACACTGTGGTGGCGTCTTCCAAACGCACCGCAACTTACCGGGGAGGAAAATCAGATCTTCCGCCGCCCTCTCCCCGCCCCCGACCCATCCAGCTAGGACAGCTTTGGCAGGTAGGAGTTTTTCATCCTTCCTGTGCTTATCACTCTTGCTTTGGAGAAAAAGACAGACTGTCCCTCTAAACCTCCCAGAGAGCTGTCGTCACTGACGAGGCTCCCATCTCTGTCAGTAAAGCCTGTGACCCAGGGAAGGCCACCCCCCAGAGCCCTGACCTGCAGAGGTGCAGGTCCCCAGCCCTAAACCCACACAAACAGCACACGCACGCTCGGCCAGCTGGGGGCGCCCGAGGCGGAGCCAGCACCGCCTCTACTGGCGATTGGAACAAGTGACGCTTTTCATCACAGCACATTACTGGAGCGGTGTTTTTTTTTCTTTTCTTTTCTTTTCAAATTCCAAAAGAACTCACAGATAATTATTTGTGGTAGTGCTGGACCTGCCTGTCTGAGTGGGGGCAAATCGCTGCACACCTCTGGGCCTCAGTTTCCTGATCTGTAAAATGAGGGAGTCGAACTGGAAGATTTCTAAGGCCCCTTATAGCACTAACACTGTAGTTCTTCCAGTGGGGGGTGGGTTTCCTCCAACATTTTGGCACGTCACCTATATAATTAGCCACCTGGTTTGTCAGCACCGATTAAAATCAGAGAGACGGTTTCCGTCCCGTGCGCATCTTACCTTGTCGACTGAGGCGTGCTCTTCGTTTGTGACGCTGGTTTTCCTGGGCTCGTTTTTAGACCTGCTCAGCCTCCGGGAGACCTTCTCTCGGAGCAGAGTGGCATAGCCGATGTGCTCATAGATGGGGTTTGTTGTCATTTTGGAAATGTATTCGGAGGCTTTTGTTTCTATGTACAGTGTTATCAAGCCGTCTGTGACCAGGTCGTGAATCGATTCGAACCTCTTCTCACCCACGAAGTGTTTTCCATCGTAGAAGAGCCTGTAGTTTAAGGTCTGGTTTCCAAACCTGCCATGAGAGCGGGCATCACAGCAGCGTTAGAAATGAGACCCGTGGGAAACAGTTAGAGGCCAACACTGTTTTGAGCGTGCGGGGCCCTGGGCTGAGCACTTGACATGGCTCTTCCTCCGTTCAGTTTTCTTTCTTTTTAAAAAATGAGTTGTGTCTCCTTTAAAAAGATTTTATTTATTTATTTTTAGAGGGAAGGGAAGGGGAAAGAGAGGGAAAGAAGCATCAGTGTGTGGTTGCCTCTTGTGCGCCCCCTAGTGGAGACCTGGCCTGAAATGTAGGCATGTGCCCTGACTGAGAATTGAACCAGTGACCCTTTGGTTCGCAGGCTGGCACTCGATCCACTGAGCTACACCAGCCAAGGCCCTAATCAGTTTTCATAGAGACCCTTTGAGACAGGTACAATCATTATCCCTGTTTTACACATGGAAAAACTGAGACTTGAAGAGATGGGCTACCTGCTTGAGGCTATACCCCAGAAAGAGGCAAAGATGGGGTTTACCCTGGCCTGTCACATGATGTCATTTAATCCCAGAAATCACTAAGGCCATTGGGCCCCTATCGTTCTCATTAGTAAAATTCAGGGTAGCAACTGATTTACGAATATATATTACTTATAAAGTTCCTCAATGGGAACTAGCCACACCCCATGATTCCCTCCCCTGAACTGGGCAATTACCTCTGCAAGGGAAGCAGCCACCACCGGCCCTGGTGTCCCCTTCTTGTTACAGCTCTGACCTCTACCGGTGGAGCCCCCATGCCTGCCAGCTCAGCTAGTCCAGCTGAAGGGAAATGAGGGGACTGTGCAGAGCCCCCTGCATGAGCCTCCACTGCCAGCATCCTCTCCCTTTAATACTGACTGTCCCCTCTTGGTCTCTGTGCTATAGCTTGTAGCTCCTGCCTGATTCCCCACTGGGACTGCCAGCTCCTGTGGGCTGGGGAGCTGGGAAGATAGGCAAATTCTGTGTATACCTAATACACTTGATAGCTTTTGAAGTACTTCCATACAAGGATATCATGGAAGACATGCCACTAGCGTGCATCCCCACTGGCAACTTGGAAAGTATCTTTCCACAGACACAATATCAAGCAGGTGCACTGAGCACACCTTTGTGGGCTGGGCAGGGACGTGTTTCTACGGATACCATTCCCTTGATGGAGCGAGGTCTTCCCAGCTCTAAAGAGTTCACAAAATGAATTTTTTGGAAGACAACCCCATTCTGAAATTGAATACCTTCCCCAAACCTCCATGGGCTGTTGTGAGGATCAAATAACATAAAATACTTGACCCAGGTTACGGAGGGGTAGTGAATGTCCTGACTTTCCAGTGCTGTGATTTAATACTTGGGATTTTGCAGTAACAGGCTTGTGAGAACTCAGCCGTGATGGCTCACTGGCATAGAGACAGAACGTCATGAATGCCACGGGGAGTCCTTTGGGCCACTGTGATCGCTGAGAGAACTCCATGGACAAAGTGGGGATTTTGACAAGAACAGCTGGGACCCGCAAAGCAGAAGCCCTTGTCCCTCGGCGGCTGGCTTCATGTTTCAGGCAGGAGTGGCCGCAGGAGCACTGGCCTGCTGGATAATTCTCCAGTCACTGTGCGTGTGCAGAACCTGGTGTCCAGCCTACTGAGAACACCCGTGGCCAGGAAATGCAGCAGCCTCTACCACATGGCTGGTGCTCTGTGAGCCCAGTGAACACAAAAAAGAAGTGGGTGGGGACATGAAGTGATTGCTCAACAGGTTCAGAGTTTCTGTTCAGGAGGATAAAAAGTCCCGAAATGGATAGTGGAGATGGTTCTATGACATTGAGAATATACTTAATACCATGGATTGTACATTAAAGAAATGGTTAAAATGGTAAATTTTGCACTAGGTATATTTTATAGTAATTTTAAAGTGGGGAAAAGTGAGTGAAGTCACTTGTAAGGGCAACAATGGGTGTGGGCGGGCTCACCTTAGAGCTAATGTGTAGCATCCCGGCTGCCGCTGGCTTTCTCTGAGAATGTAGGCGCCCTCCACGCCTCCGAGCAGCTCATCAGCCTGCTCCCGGGAAATGCTCCCGTGAAACCTGAGGACACAGGAGACCATGTTGTTCCGGACAGACCCCACACAAAGCATGGACCACAAAGAGATGGCTCAAAGAGATGGCCGGGCCACCCAGAGTCTCTGCCCCGCACTTGGATGGAAAGTGGAGGGACTATCGTGTATCTTAAAGATGCACTTGGCACCGCCTCTCAGCATGCACACATAAGCAGAGAACAAGCATTGGAGAAGCCAAACGGGACGAACAAAGGCAGTCAGTCTCCTTGTCTCTGCTTCCAAGCTGAGAATTAAGGTGGAAACAAAACATCAGGTTATGGCCCCTTTTTAAACCAGGGGGCGTAACAAAAGAGCAATTACCAGTTTAGATCTCTGCTGTGACATAGAGGACTATGTATTACCCTGATTGCAAATGACCTCTTATTGATTATCAACCTGCTTACTTCAGGTGGAGTGTTAATTTTAGAGGCCCACTCTCAGAAAAATAGCCAGCTATAATCAATTTTGAGAGCAATAGTTTAGGGATGTGTTTGAACAATGTTCCTTCCTGGAAGGGGGAAGGAAGAGAGGGAAGTTGTTGAGAAAGTTTTGTTGTGTTTTATTTTGTTTTTCCCCAGGAATGCAAAGAGGAGGCGGGGGGTGGGGGGAGAGGACATTGGGCATCAGGAGTTTCTACACTGGAGCCAGAAAGGGCAAAGCTGGTGACACAAGAGTGTGGAGGCCAGGAAGGTCAGGACACAATCTGACCATGTGACCATGGGCCAGGGTAGGACAGGGCAGAGGGTGACCGCATCAGGCCGAGACACACAGAGGAGGGCACAAGGACCCGACGCTCCTATCCCGCGTCACTTTCAGGGGTGGAAGAAAATCTCAAACAGGTCGTTAACCTAAAGGTAGTCATTTTAATTCCCTTGAATCAAAATGTTTAAGCAATGGCCATCAGCCGATGTAGAGTGTCAAGAACCAAATACACTCAATTGTTCAAAAAAAGAAAATGATAGTTTTGTGACTCTGAAGACCCAGTTGGGAGCTCATCATCCCCCTTCTGCATGGACTTAAAAATATCTATGATGTGTGTATCCTACGATTCCAATTTGTGGAAGGTGAGCCTACCCAGAGACTGGAAGGAAAGAGGCGAAGGGAAACAGTTCCCCGGGGCCTCGCGCAGGGTGGGGCCCTGGGTGTCTTGCACTATCCAGATTCCTGTAGTTCCTAATTTTCTCAAATTAGAAGGTATTTACCAACTTTGTAGGAACACAAATAATACCTATGCACAGTGGGAAAATTCAGAATTCAAAAGTTAAAGACATAAACAAAATAAACGTAGAGAAATAAAAGTAGAGAACTAAAAATTCTCTTTCCCTAAAGGTAACATTGTCAACAGTTGTTTTATGTTTCCTTCCAGGAAAAAAAAAATACATGCTTCCTGAATGTGTTACTTTTTGAATGGCTGGAACAAACAAGCAAACCCTTTCCTTTTGAAAAAAGGTAGGGGAACCCAGAATCTGAAGTTTCAAAGTGAATTGCCCGCTAATACATGTCCCTTTTCCATGGTTGAGAAAAATGTTTCCTGGGTCCCCTCCCATTATAGGATTTACATGGTTTGGGGTTAAAGGATGAGAAAAAGAGGGTTACTCAACAAAATTTTTATGCAAAAAACCTGCACAATAAAGGGAGTTCCCTTGGAATTCATCTACGACAGTGTTCCATTTGGGAAGTATATGTAGGTTTTCATTTCCTCTTGTTTTATTCATTGTGCTTTCTGTGAGCAAAATCCAGATCAGCATACTGAAGGGAAAAAGAAGGCATACAACTCAGTAAGCTAGACACTAGGGACATTCGGGCTGCAGGGATAGACGTGAGCGGAGGCCAGGGTTCCCGCGTACCCCAGAGGTGCCTGCTCAATTCCCAGGGTCAGGAAGAAAGGTTCTGAAAATGCAGCTGTGGCAATTAAGAAGTGGCCTGGGGGGCTGGGACAAATCAGAGGGCCATTAATCACGAAGATGAAGCTGTGATGGGTAAGGGGATTGAGCAAGAAAGTTTTGCATTGGCCAGGAGAGCTTGGAAGGTGGACTTGAAAGAGACTTTTCCTCTAATGGCCTGCAGGTTGGCTGTGGGAAGAAATGTGAGCTGAGTTGGTGGCTGCCCCTCTCAGATCGTCCTGCCTTCCCCTTGCAAGCTGATTTCTAGGTCATGGGCTTAAAGGCTGAATGATAATGTATGTTTGCTTTGCAGTAGTTTTCTGAGAAGGTAAAGTGAAACAAGATGAAAAATTAAGAGAGGAAAATGAAAGAAAATAATAATGATGGTATTAAGGCAGCTTGCCTAAGTTAGCCAAGTCAAGAGAAATGATCGCTTTGGTTTTATGAGGCTGCAGGGACATGGGGGCACTTTCCTAAGTACTGCATTTACTGAGGTACAGGAAAGGAAGGAGTTCAGCTACAGTTTATGATCTTTGACACCCTAAAGGTTTATGGAATATTGAGAGAGCAACCGAAGTAGAATACAAAAATCTCAGTTATGGAAAATGCTGCCTTACATTTCACATACTTGCCCAGCAGTCAGTGGCTGCTTTTGTGGAGAGAAAAGTAGGAGATGTTCTCCCACCCACAGTGAGAGAAGCCAAGTACCTGAGCGTTATACAGAAACTGCAGTACAAAGGGGCCTGATTGCATTTATGATTACTGTTAAACTCTTGCACTATGGATATTTGATGAAGACCCTATATTTGAAAAATTTTAATATGTATATTTAAATGACATACGAAGTGACTACTTATTACAATATTAAAGCAAAGAATAGCATAATACATACTCTCTTCCATAATATTTTGGTCTGTTTTCCACCTATATTAAAAAGAAGAAAAATATTAATAATGCATTCGAATCCAAATCAGATAGATAAAAATGCTATTCAAATAAACAGAGCTAGAGTTCTGGTAGTAATTTTATTACAGTTTTTGTTTCCCAAATCAGAGATCCATGAATTACAGAGTTAACCAACACATTTCACTGTCTGGAATAGGAATGTTCTAGAATCATCATATTTCTCTAAGCATTTGGCTCACTCCTCACCCAAACCCAATCACTTAATAAAATAATTTTCAAAAGAAACAAATTGATGCTTATTTTAATATTAGGGAATTTATAAAGATATTATAAGTCTTCATCCTGAAGGATAAAATAAATATTTTTAGCATGAATAAAACATGAGCATTTATTTTGATCTTCATCCACTTCTTTCTTTATATATTTACAATAAAAATGAGGAGTTCACCTGGATTAAAATGAACTTTGATTTGCTCTCTCTCCAGATAAAATAAATATTCTAACATTCTTATTTTCTCAACAAATGGTTGATGAGCTAAAAATTTTCCTGACACCAGACATAGAGGACAAGATTTATGACTCAACCAAACATCGCAAGCATTCCAGGAAGGATTTTACAATCACAACTTCTGCCTCGGAGTGGTCACATCAAATTTTTATCATGTACCGAATAAGCTACTTTCACAAGAACTTTGTTTTCTGATGCTCATTGTGTTGGAACTGAGGAGACATGAGCATGGGTTCTCATGTCCAGCTTTTGTTCCAGCCTAACTCCAGGGACACTGAAAACACCACAGAGCCACATTAAAGTTATGAATTTTCGTTGACGGCTCTGACAGCAAGCTGGTGTTTATCTCCTAGAGTAGAACCTGAGCCTGTGGTAGTTTTGTTTATGGTCAGTCATTTCTGTCTACAGTCCAATGGGGACTTTTCCCTGCAGGGGTCACAGGTAGGCTAAGAGGTGGGATTTCAAGATACTGAGCAGTTTCCTGGCCTGTGTTTGCTCTCTAAAGGATGCAAGGGATCTTCGTGGGCTGTAGGGAGCTACAGACTACAGGAAAAGGCTCCGAAAGGGGGAGCCAGGAGTCTGAGGACCTCATCCACAAGCCGTCTTGGCCAAGCCCGGCCGGCAGAACACTACTCATCTAGGCATTTCTAAATACATGCTCATTCATCTGTGAACTTCACACTTGAAAAGCACTGAACTGAGAGGGGGCATTCACAGCTCTCAATCTTTAAGGTTTAAAGCCTGCCTGGTAGGCATCACTTACAAAAGAAGATGTGAAAAAAGAAAATGTCATTAATGGAAGCCCAAAGTGTGTAAAAATCACCTTGTTACCGCATGTGTACCATGACTCTACGTGCGGGAAAGCTTTTTACTAGGAGGTGAACATTGTGTCATTTCTACCCTTCTGTTAGCTTGCAAAGTTCTTTCTTACTCTGATGCTACTGTAGATATGTGGCTGCAACACTGCCCTGGCAGAGGAAGTGGAGGAGTAGATAAAGCAATGGGCGGGGGTCTGGGTATAGTGGGCAACACATCTGTCTATTCTTTAAGAGTCAGAAGTTTAAAGTGATTTCCTATATATAAGGACACATTTATTTCCATCTTTCTGGCTGATCCATGACACATTTGCAAGTCTGGGCATAGCTTCCTACCCCATTTCCCTTTGCTATCCTCTTATCTCCCCAATGGGGAGACTAATCTAATTTCCCAGGGGGCTGCAGGGCAGATGGAGCCCACCACTGACTTCTGGCATGCAGGTAACTCGTTAATGAATGTTGAATTTAATTGACCCTTAAGACAACAAACTGTGTTTAGTTCATCAATCGATCATAAGAATAGATGACACGCTTACTATCCCGAGGACTCGGGCAAAGCCCTGTCATTGCTGGTGAAGTAGTGACCTCCCAGGTGTGAGCAGAAAGCCCTAAGGACCTGGGGGGTGAGGGTCTTCTGCACTTGCAGTGGGAGGAAGTACTGGAGAAATCTAACATAGGCCCCCAAATAGGGAAGTCAATATTTATGATGCCTTTCGGGACACCAAGGAAGACCCTGCCTAGAGAACAGTTGGATCTCATTGAGGGACAAATCCTCATATGAAAATGACGAGGAAATAAAACAAAAGCACTGCATTGTGTGGGACGGACTGCACCCGGAACAGGGCCCTGGGGTGGGTCCCAAATCGTGTGCCAGACATACTTTAGCACTAAAATATTATTTTTTGCTTGTTAGAAATTCAAATTTAACTAGGCAGCCTATTTTTATCTCTTCTTTTCTAAGTCTGGCAGCCCTACATAGGGGGAGACGAACAGTAGAAAGAGTGAGAACATGAGGACAGAGGGTGTGGGCGAGGACAGCTCCCCAGGCAGGGGCTGTTTTGAGAGCAGTCTTTCCCTCAGCTCCCTGCTACCCTTCCCCTCAGTCGGGCAGCGGTCCTGGTTGATGCCAAAGAGAGAAATAAAGGCTGGGCTAAAAACTAAACAAACAATAACCCCCACCTCTTCCTAAACTTTTTACTCACAGGAGTCTAGACACAGTCTCAATTGCCACGCTTTGCTAAGCTTTTAACCACGCCAAGAGCTTACTTTAAGTTGCGCTTACTTTAAGTGGTAGAATATCCACATTTTTTAAGGTGTTCTTAGATCCAGATGAAAAAGTCCAAAATATCAGTTCCCCAAATATTACTAAAATGCTTTAAAACAACTGTAAAACAATCTGATAAGAATTTCTCCATAATATTAATATAAAACAAACACCGTTAACATAATTGTTTAATACTTTATGGTACCATTAACAGGTAGGGTCATGTACAGTCCGCTGCTGAATAGCATGGGAATTTTATTTGCTTCTACATGGAGCACATACTGTAATAAAAATAAACAATGGAGTAATACTATCAAAGATGTGAAAGATTTGAATTGGTAGTGCCCCCAGGTACCAGGCAGCCTGAATAATACTGACAGGCTAAACCCTCAGGGGAACGTGGGGGAAATTGTGCCTATATGTCCAATATACTCAAACACGAGGCCAATCAGGAGAACGCTGAGATATGGGCAAGGCCCTCCTTGCCCCTTCTAGCAGCCCTGCTACGCAGAAGGTGGTCCGGGCCCAGCAGCATGGGCATTACTTAAATGCAGAATCGTCTCTCAGAAGGGGTCATAGGCACCCTAGAGGTTGAGAAACCACCAGGCACATGAGAACTGGTTTTGGCAGGATTTTACCTGGAGAAGGATGGGGGCTAAAACTTTTTGTAAGTTGTTAGAGCACAGGCTCCGTGTTTGCAACAACGAGGGTCCACGGGGCGAGGTGCACCTGAGCTCGGTGCGCATCTGCAGAATGAGACATAGACTGAGGATGAGGAGCCCCACTGACAGTGTGATTGCTATGTGATCCTGAGTCGCTTATTAAACTTCTTTGCATCTCATTTTCCTCAATTTCCGATAAAACTGGAGCTAGAAAAACATGCTATTTTAATAAGGCCCTTTCGCAGATTCGATGAGATGATGCTTATAAAAATGCTGAGGCTTGGAATGCTGTGGTAATAAATTCACATGCCCCAAGTAGCAACTTGGTGCCAGGGTTTCCCGTCTTTATCTCATTTAAGCCTCCAAACAACACTGTGAGAGGTAAGTGAGCACTAGTGCCCTTTTGCAGAGAGCCGCCAAGTAATTAGCATCAGGTCACAGAGCTACTACCTGGCTTCAGACCAGCCCATACATTCTTGAAACTCCCATGCTCCCTGCTTCTGCTGGGCACATGTCAGCCAACGTCAGTGACGCCGTTGGCTGCGGAATATTGGAGCCAAATTCTACACTGCGCTTAAATATCTGATTGTTTGAATAGCCCTTGAGTTTTGTTTACCAGGATTGAACACCTTAAAAACTCTTTGTCATGAACTGAATTCTATCAATGAGTTAACAAATGAGAACATGGAATAAATATACCTTCATGTGGGGATATGTTGGGTCTTTTAACTCTTTCTCTGATATTTAGAAGTACATGTATTCCAAGCTACCTGGTTCCTCTTCTGGCCTATTCTCTAATTTTAAGACAGAATTCTCAGCATTTTGCAAACCTTGAAAGAAACAGTGGGGCGACAGCTGCGCAGTGACAGACAGGAAATGTAATCCTTAAATGAGTTTGCTTTATAGTCAGATTATCATCTCCTAGGAACGCAAATTCTTTCATATTCCACACAAAGACACTTAAAAAATATTGTGAGTCCTCTGAAAACAAGGTTTCCAATTATTTTAAAAAACAAAGCTTTTATAATCTCTCAGCAGCTGGTGTATGTAAAGTTTCTACTTAACAGAAATAATTTAAAAACTCAATTTAGCAACCTCCTACACAGGGCAGCTAGATGGCTGGATTTTCTGAGATACGGATCAAATACAGAGAAAAGGCATTTGATGGGGGGCTTTGTATTGGTGATACTGGGGTGATTCCATTAAAAAAAGTAAATATGGCTAATTCTCTTCTAATTAGAAATCTAAGTCCTCTAGTAGAAAAAAAGAAAATGCAAGGACTGCAATGTACATCCTTGTAGTCAAAGCCTATAGCGTAGAATGAAAATTAAGCAAACTTTAAAATCTCCTGTTTCTTTCCATCAAGAATCTAAGGCCCTATTTTTCCTCATGACATTACTTCAAGGCTTCCAGAGTTCTGATGGGGCACTAATGAGGTGAATGCCTTCTGTCTTGATTGGAATATATTATTAAAAATTCTACCGGCCAGTCTTTTTGCAATAAATCTCCTGACAAGTTTACCGACAGCTTTGCAAAGCTCTGTAAACGCACAGGAATCAGGCACTTTGAAAACTTCTTACCAGCATCCTGTGAACTTACCAGTGAGCAGGACCAAAGCTGTTCTCATTTACTGGCTTGTTTTCTGCTGTCTTTGCCCCTGCCCTCAGGTTTTTCCAGGAATTATTATTTTAAAAATCATGATAACTTAGGGGAACAAATACAAAGGAAAAGACTTTTCTTAGACCAGTGGTTCTCAACTGGGAGAGGAA